CACTTAAATATTAGCAGATAATATCCTGCGCCCCATGTTTTATTTATTCATTTAAATCTTAAAAATATGCTGATTAAATATAACATGTTGCCCTGTTTGTTATAAAATAATCTAAATATATACATGGATTTTTTAATAGAAATTTTAATGGCAAAATACCAATAAAGAAATTTTATACATAAAAGCTGTTTTTAAAATTTCAGCTTTTAGAAATTATATAAAAGCAGAAGTTTTCTAAAATCAATTGTATATTAACATGAAACAACTGAAATAATTTTACTTGCAATTAAAACTTTAATTCAAATTTTCACAAACTGCAAGTAGTTTTAAATTACAAATTTGTAAAACATTAATGGGAAAAAAATCTTTACAATTAAAAATCTAATGGTATAAAAGCAATTAAAACTTCTATATAAGCATATCATTCATGACACAATAACAAATGATAAAGAAAAAAATGTTACATTTAAAAACAAGATTTTTTTCACTGAAGAAAAAAGGATACATATAATTTAAGTTCTTCTGTTTCATAACCCATGGAACGAGAAAGTAAGGCTGCAGGATAATGCTTTGCTGAAACATAATTTAGGGACATTTCAATTTATATATCTAAGCAAAACATTTTGTGTATATACCGTATTTACGCGAATCTAATGCGCATTGTTTTTGGCCAATGTAGTATTCAAAATTGGGGTGCGCATTAGATTCGAGTGCAAAGTTCGCCGATGACGTCAACCAAATTTCTCGACTACATTTACTGTTACATTTATCGTTGACATATTATTGCATAGAGGATACAAACTGCAGAGTACGTAGTCACGAAATGGAGGGCAAACAGAGAAGAATGTCATATGATGCTACTTTCAAACGTAAAGTAATTCTTTATGCCGAAAAAAAATGGCAATAGAAAGGCAGGGAGAGAGTTCAACGTAGCTGAGAGCAATGTTCGCTTGTGGCGGCAACAGAAATTGGCACTGTTTGCAACTAAAGCTAGTAGAAAGAAATTCACTGGCCCTCGCAAAGGAAGACACCCTAAAATTGAAGAAAAGTTTTGGAATTTGTACGTGAAAGGAGGAAGAATGGACAACCTGTGACTAGTGACACCATAAGAAATAAAGCAAAAGAGGAGGCTGAAGTTCTTGGAATACCGAAACAAGAGTTTAAGGCTAGCCGTGGATGGGTGGATCGGTTTATGAAGCGGATGGGTTTATCTCTAAGACGCCGTACAACAATATGCCAAAAGCTTCCTGCAGATTTTGAGGGAAAACTACTAACATTTCAGCGGTATGTCATCACACTTCGGAAGGAAAAGAATTTTTCAATGGGGCAAATTGGCAACGCTGACGAGACGGCCAATTTGGTTTGATATGCCTCGTAACTACAACCATTACGGAGAAGGGGACTAAGGAAGTTATCATCAAAACTTCGGGATGTGAAAAACAACGCGTAACAGTGATGCTGGCAATAACAGCAGACGGGTGCAAACTTCCCCCTTTCTTAATCTTCAAACGGAAAACATGCCCTAAAACCCCTAAGAATGAAAAGCTGTTCCCAGATGATGTCCTGATTCGAAACCAAGAGAAGGGGTGGATGACAGAATCATTAATGCTTGATTGGCTCCGAAATGTATGGAAACGCCTTCCCGGTGGGCTCTCTAATCCACCATCAATGCTTTGTCTGGACACATTTCGTGGTCATCTCACTGACGACGTAAAAAAGAAGATGCACAGCCTAGGCAGTGATCTTGTTATCATTCCTAGAGGGATGACGTCTGTGTTATAACCCCTGGACGTTAGTATAAATAAACCTTTTAAGGGGTACGTTCAGGCAGAGTACGAAAAATGGTTTTGTGAGACAAACCGTGTATTGACCCTGACAGGAAAATTAAGCGTGCTGCACCGCACATTGTTGCACACTGGGTTTCTGCTGCCTGGAAAAGCATCGAAGCACCAATGATTGTGAAATCTTTCAAGAAATGCTGCATTTCAAATGCATTGAATGGCAGTTACGATGACGTGCTCTGGAACGCCGACGATGACGATGATGAGGAAAGAAGAAATGAATCTGCTTCTGACGAAGAGAGCTGCGAGGATTCCAGTGATGAAAACATTAGTGAATAAAGACATTTACTATTAATCACTGATTGTAGAAACTGTTAGCTAGATAGAAATGTTACGATTTATTTCATGTTCATATTTTACAATAGGAACCGTATATTACGGTTCCTATCGTAAAATATGAACATGAAATAAATTGTAAGTGCTAATTAACAATGATTGTTTCACATGACAATAGCCCACTAATAGGTTAATTTTATGTTCTGCTACTTTATGTATAAATTCATTGTTGTATAAAATATGGTATCTAAATTTAAATAAAATTATCATACCATTAATTGATAGTTTATATACAAATCCATTGTTGTATAAAATAAGATTCAATAAATTTCTCATATCATTGATGCGCATTACATTCGCCGACAAACAATTTTTTTATTATTTAAAGTTTTAAAATGGGGATGTGCATTAGATTCACATAAATACGGTATATTATACAGGGATCAATTAAATATTTATCATCGATCTAAAATTAGAAGTGCAGGAGTCCTATGGAAGACTGTGAAGAAGGTAGGGAAAAATAAATAAATAAAAAAACTAAATAATTAAATTGAAATTAAAAGATACATACAGTGATAAAAAGAAATTTAATAAATCATTAAATTAAATTTAAAGAATTAAATGAAAAATTTGTTAGACCTTGTTTTATTTGGGACACCTTTGAGGTTACTACCTTCAAAACTGAAATAAGGTAATAAAGGTAGGTAATAAAGATGATTTAAATAAAGTTCTTTCAACAATGAATTCCATTGATCCTGCTATTCAGTTCACTTTTGAACTTGAGACTTGCAATTCTCTTCCATTTCTCGACATTCTGGTCACACGTAACACATCCAATTTCAGTACTACTGCTTACCGTAAACCTTCATCGATTTGCCTTCCACCACACTTTAACCACTTGCCTGGTTATCTTGAATTCGTATATATTGCAGTTAATTATTATCCTGAGAAAACTCGGGCGAAGCAGAATTTGTTAGTACGATTTCTTTTATCACGGTTTTACTCAGTCTGGAGGAAATGAAAGGAAATATTTAGCTTTGATTGGCAGTTTGCCAAATTTTGTTGGTTGCGCGGTTCTTTTGGATGGACTGGTCGCGTGTTTCCCTATTGTATAGTATACGTTGGCATGTGGATTAGTAATGTATAAAGAAAGATGCATGCATTGGAAAAAAATAAAATAATGGTGATGATGGAAGATAGCAAAAGCGATGACTTTTCAGATAGTGATTATGAAAAGGTTGGGAAAAAAAATTAAAAAAAAAAAAATCAAATCCAACGAGACAGTGTACTCTGTGCTCCCGTGGAAAAGATTCCAGCGATAAGCCAGTAAGAAAAGAGACCAGATACAAGTGTAGAACGTCAGGTACCACTCTGTGCTGTTCCTTGTTTCAAAAACTATCATACAAAGATTAATATTTAACTTTTTTTCATTTGCCTGAGATAACTTGGGATAGTAAACTAATATTAAAAATAAATGCTTTTACACCTTCAAAAAATTAAAAACTCAACATAAAACCTAAATATTTTGATTTGTTTTGTTTTGTTGTATTTAATAATAAAATTAAAAAATGTGATGATTTTTTGCAATTTATTTCAAAAAAATTTGTAAGGGGAGCGGTTAATTCATGTCATCCGTCTAAACAAAAGTTAACTTCATTTTTATTCCTATGTTTTCCGTGCTCTATATGTTTGCTCCTCCAAACTATCCCTTGATGAAGAACTAATTTATTTGAAAGCAATAGCTGTTGACAGGGGCTTTTCACCCAACATTATTAATCAAGCAGTTAAAAAATTCTCATCTCAACACACTAAAAGGCACACTCTTGTTTTAGGAGATTATAAAAATTCAGTTGTCATTCCCTTCTTTCCTTCAGTTAGCTATACAGTTGCACATATTTTGCAGAAATTTACTTTCGGATCGTTTTATTCTCCCATCAATAAAATTCCGAGTTCCATACTCAAGGACCCCATTCCGGATATGAATTCCTGGGGTAATAATAGGATTCCTTGCCAGTGTGGTTTAATTTACACTGGCCAAACTAAGAGAGCCTTAAAATTTCGAGTCAAGGAACATGAGGCATATGTTAGAAAAAAAGAAACACAGAAGTCTTCTGTTGCCCAACATTGTTGGTCCGAAAATCACACTTTTAATTTTTCTGCTGCCAAAATTATTCATAAAACATCTTCCATTGGAGAACTGGATTTTCTAGAGGTATTTCACATTCAAAAAAATCTTTCTGTTCTAGTTAATGATCGTAATTCCAATCCATTTTCGCCCTCGGTGTTTAAAGAAATTATGTTTTAGTTCTGGTTTCATCAACAGATGGCACCACTAGTTTATTTTCTGTTTAGGCTTTCTTATCTGATCATTATATCCTATCTCGTTCATTTGCGCTTTTGCAGCTGAGGATGGTAGTTCGGTAAAACCATCGAAACTAGTCTTGTGAAAATTTTAAAATATAACGATTTTTGTTGTTTGACTTCTGAATTAATTCTTAACACATATTTGTTATTAAAATATAATGTCTGCTGAAATTGCAGTTCACTTCATAAAAAAAAGTGTCACAGCCCTTTTATTTAGGGTTCCAGTGTGCTCCGGCTAAAATTATGATTCAATAAAAAAAATTGAGATGTACCAGAGCCATATTCTGGTGCAATTTAAACTCTGTGTGCATATAAATATATACAATTAACACATTAAGTAAAAAAACTAAAAAGGTGAAAATGACCTTTAAAGTCAAAATCATAAATTTTAATTATTAATGCTGATTATCTTCTTGGAAGTGATGAGTAAAAACTATCGTAACTTGGATACTTATTAAAACTTAATTCTCTAGGAAAATGAGTTTAAACGATAGAAATAAAACTTATCAAAAATGTATTCGAATTATAAAAATTAAAATATAAGGACAAAATAAAATTAATTATTGCTGATTCTGTCGGAAAAGGCTGACTTTTCAAAGGGAATCAGCCCTTTCCGATAAAATCACCAATAATTACAAAATCCGATTACATTTCATATCTTTCATATATTTAAGTGAAATCCAATTCAAAATACTATGAAATATTTCTATTTGCGGTTACATCAATTTATTTTCAAACACAGAAAAGAAATTCCCTGATGGAATCCTACATTAAAAAAAATTGAGAAAAATCCAACTGCTGGGAAAAACATTGATAAATACTAACTATTCAAACATAAGTCGGTACAAAAGTTGAAGTAAATTATATAAATGTGATTTACTGGAGACTAACAAAACATACCTAACTATTTACGAATTGTACTACAATTTATAAAGTCAATTGTAACATTAAAATATTACAAGGGCCAACAATTAAATTTTACTTACATTTGTTGTACTTCTTAATGACAACTTTAAGTGACCATTTTTCTATTCAAAAAGGAAATTTAGTTGGAACAACGTGCTGAGGACACTAAAGGTTGCAATACTAGAT